TACCCGTGTTGATGCGGTGACACACGGCTGACGTGCGGTTGAGGGGAGCATGCTGACAGTCGAAAAAAGAACAAAATTTCTCCAGCAGTCGTAGAAGCTGAGAACGTTGCGAAACGGTTAACGTGTCGGCGATGGAGCTGCTCAGTACGTCCGGCCTAGGAGTCTGCGCCGAAGAGGCACAGGTCACTCCGGCGACTTCGTGTTCGGCGGAAGGACCAGCCGGCATGTCGATAATTGCAGAAGGGTCGAGACTGTAAACACGCCCAACGCGCTTACCCCGAAGTAGTGTTACAGGACATGACAACAGGTTCGAGATAAGCAGTCCGCTGACGCCGTCATAAAGTTCTAGAAGGGCATAAGGTAGCGGCGAACAGTTGCGTCGAACGAAAAGAGCAGATGGCGTGAAAAGGGCACTAGACTCGGCGAGAGAGTTGCAATACACCATGGTAAGGGCAAAAGAATGCGGTGGTATGATGACCTCTTCAGCAACAAATAGTTTGTCCCCAGTTTCATGAGCATCATATAATGAAGCGTCGTCAAACACTTCAAATGCCACCTCAGCGCGAGAGCAGTCGATGACGGCCTTATTAGCGGAGAGAAAATCCCAGCCCAAAATTAGGTCATGGGAGCAGGAATCTAACTAGAAATTCAACGACATAAATGAGGCCATCAATCGCGAGGCGAGCAGTACAGGCAGCGGCCGGTGTGACGTGATCTGCGCTGGCTGTACGAAGCGATATACTTGCTAGTGGCGTCATAACTTTTTTGAGCAAGTGGCAGAGTCTAGCACTTATCACTGAAGCTGCGGCAGCAGTGTCGACAAGAGCGAGTGCAGCGACGCCGTCCACATGTGCGTCCAGAACATTCGTTGGTGAAGTGAGAGGCCTTGGTCTTTTCGCTGGCGATGCAGTTCCTGCCTCTGAAACTGCGGCAATTAGTTTTCCCGCTCCGGCAATGAAGGACGACGACGCGTCGGCGATGGCGAGCGGCGTCGAAGTGATGGCGAGCGGCGGTTAACAGGAGGGTGGTGGTCGGCGTACGATGACGTCTGGTTGGGGGGCTGAGAGCCTGTGGACGAAGAGCGCGGTGCCACATAAAGGGCAGGTTCGAAGGTCTGGTCGTAGCTCTGGTGGTAGACAGGGACGCGCCGACGGCAGTATCGCGCTATGTGGCCAGGTAGCCCACAGGCAAAGCATATTGGGCAATTGTCAAGTGTAAGCCATTGTCCGCTGCTCTGGACGGACCTTGGTTAAGTAAACCGAGGAGTGGGTCGCAGCGGCACGGCTGAGCGAAGTGACGTAAAAGTCTGAAGAGATGGTCGAGCCGCTACTTCATCATAGCGTAGAGGTGCATTTACCTCGGCACAGGCAACAGGGCTCGGCAATAGTGAAGTGTCACAGCAGATGGCAGATCCGCGCGAAATTGCTCCTGGATGACCTTGCGAATGTTTGCTGGCAGAGCTGACGGTGGTTGGCCGGCTGTTGATAGCAGCGATAGCTGACGAGCGACCTCAGCACGAACAAACTCCTTGATCTGCGATAGCAGCGACTGAAGGTCAGATGTGGTGGTCAGGCTTGAGAGGGTCTCATCCGGGACGTCAGGGCGTCGCGTGAGAAGACGCTGTCGTCGCAGCTCGTCGAAACTCTGACACAACTTGATGACCTCAGAGACAGTGACAGGGTTCTTGGAGAGCAGCATTTGAAAGGCGTCGTCGGAAATGCCTTTCATGATATGTCGCACCTTGTCAGTTTCTGCCATCGATGGGTCGACAAGCAGGCAGAGGTCGAGGATGTCCTCTATGTAGCTGGTGAATGTCTCACCAGTTTGTTGGGACCGGCCTTGTAGGCGTTGTTCTGCGCGAAGTTTGCACGCACCAGGGCGTCCAAAAACATCTGCGACGCAGGTTTTGAAGAGAGTCCACGTGGGGATATCCGCCTCATGGTTTTTGTGCCACAGCTTGGCAACATCCGTTAAATAAAACATCACGGTACCAAGCTTTGTGGGATCATCCCATTTGTTAGTAGCGCTGGCTCGTTCATAAGATTCCAGCTAATTCTCAACGTCTTTCTCGTTGGTGCCGCTGAAGATGTCGGGTATTCGCAAGAGCTGGGCACCGGTACAGCTCCTGCGTGGCGAAGCCGGTGGGGGTGTGAAGACAGCTTCGTCAGGCATGACGAACGGCAGCTTTCGGCTACGCAGTTCCAGGACTGGGGAAGACCGCAGCACACTCCACCAATATATAATGTAAATTCAAGGTCAAAAGCGGTATCAGCGTCGGTACAAAAGCAGCAAGAGCTAGCGGCTGTACGGGCAGCGTCGCAGCAGCAACCAGGCAGTCTTAGCTCGTGCCTCGCGCCAACGTGTCGATGTCGCTGCAGTAGTGGGCATTCCTCTTCACTACAGGAGCATCAGACAGGGTTGCGGCCCAGCACTTCCACCAGTGTCGCGGTACAACGCGAATAAAACCCAGATACACCTTGAGGCAACGAAAGCAGTGTGTTCTTGCTTGCTTGCTTGCTTGTTCCTTTCTTTTGTGGCTCTCACTCACTAAGGAGGATTGGCCAAGAAGCCGGTGGTTAATGCAAGTCAATACCTTTAGATTTTCTAGACTAGGGGAATATGATTAGTATGTTTTGACTGTGAAATTAATTTGGCGCAATGTAAAAAAATGGGGGGAGAGATATATTAAAATTTGTTGAATATCTGAGGTGGATTCGTTATATAAAATTCTCCTGAAAGTTGAATCATTGCAGTGTATCAGCTAAATATTAAGTGGTAGTGTGGCTAGTAAAATTCGAGAGCTGATCGCTGACTCAGCAAGGTAATCTTCTTGTGTTATATATGAATTCGCAGAGAGCCCCGCAGATGTTTCTGTCGCTGTGTCCCGATGAAGTGGCCCCAAAAGACAAAATATTGGGAGTATTAAGTGATATTCCTAGTTTTCTGAATAAAATTTCGAAGCACTTTTCTTTGATTTTTGAAACGGTGACATATGATAAGAAAATACTCGATATGTTCAGGTTCGTTACAGCTTGAGCACAGAGGGAATGGCACCAGACCAAACCTGTTTAAGTAGAAATTACGAGGTGGTTCACGGCAACGTGATTTTGTTATCAAGACTTCCAATTTACGCGTTGGACACCATTTATTATTCCATGTGAAGTGCAGGTGCGAGAAATCTGGATTCGGTATCATGATTTTTGATGAGTCTTCAAGAAGGGAAAGTTTTCTAAACCTCGCTGCTGTTACATAAGCTGTAGGAGGCATCACTGGCACAATCGGGAGATCAAGAGATGTTCGCGCAAGTGTGTCAGCCATCTCGTTTATAAATATACTACGATGGCCTGGCACCCATATCATTCGCACTAGACGAATGTTTGCTGGGATTAATGATTTAAAAGTTTCTGGTACTGCTGATGTCGACGACGATGATAAAAATAAACACACGGAATACGAGTCAGGCACTATCACAGCTGTCGAATGAGAAACTATCACAGAAAGTTTACGAATAGCTAGTATAACTGCCATTAATTTCGCTTCAAGTATTGGTGTATAATCTTGGAGGCGTAATGAAAATGACCAGAATAATGAGAGACAAAAAATACCCACACCTGCCTTCTCGCCACTCATAGATGCATCCGTTGCAATTACTATATTAGTACCTAATTGAGACAGGTGTTGTTCTAATAAACCAATCAAATATTTAGAGGGCAAGCGTTTAGCGTTCATGGGAAAGATATTGTCAAATTTTATTTGCACTTGGCCGATTGGTTTGACAGATGGTGTGATCTCCAATATATTAACATTTAAAGCATCTAGAAGTGTTTGAACATACAGCACTTCGGGTATATATACACGGGACCAATTCTCATTGAAAAAGACACCAGGCTTAGCAAATAATACAAACTGTCGCCTTCTTAAAGTGGATTTAGAAAAGTTTAAATAGGTTTTTACTGTTAAAATACGAAATCTGCTAGCAAGGGTGGGTATCCGAGCTTCTTGATACAAAACATTGTTAGCTGTGAATTTTTGCACACCTAAACAACTACGTAGAGCTTCCCGCTCTAATAGAATCAGGGGGTTTATTTTGTATGCTGGTCAACCAGAGAATAGTACACATCCAAATTCAAGAATCGGACGAACGTACATGCAATAAATCTTGATCAGCGTATCTCTGCGAAGACCGGAACGGAGGCGGCCAAGCCTACCTATTATTCCAACAGCGCGTGTAGCCTTAATTTTAATATATTCAATGTGGTCACGCCAGCTCCGTTTTTGATCGTACAGTACGCCCAGATATTTAATGCAGTTAACCTGGGGTATTATTTTTTGATGGTACTGAAGAAAAATAGTAACTGATGCGTCCAATGGAAAAACTATTATAGCACTTTTAGTTACGTTCAGGTTCATATGAATTTTCTGAAAACAGGTTTGCAATGTTGCCAAATAACACTGTAAAGTCGAATTTAGTAAATAAATATTGCTGTCAGATGCAAATAATGCGATATCTTCTGCATATACATATACTTGTATCTTATCCTTCAGTGGTATTGAACTTAACAAAATGTTAAATCGCACAGGCGATAGAACAGAGCCTTGAGTAACACCTCTCGTTTGGTTATACTTCGGCGTGGAAACGCCTCGTTGGAAGCAATAAAATTTTGTGTCTTTTAAAAACAGCTGAACCACAAGATCGTCTTCTTCGGTCTCGAGTGAAGCTAGAGGCCCAGTACTCCTGTCCACTAAATCCCCCTTCATCGTTTTCCTCCAAATGTAGACACGCGTCAATATGCTGTTGCGCTTAAGAAGGTGTTTCGTTTTCTCTGGTTTTGACGTAACGGTTTTTCCGAGCTTGATCTCAAGTCAAACCTGTTTCATCGTCGTCATCTATGTTTCTCACGCTGCTTATGCAATAAGACCTGGTAAGCTGTACCTACATAAACAGCAATCACCAAGAAAAATATCTGATAGAAACTTAGAAAAATACAATCTCTGCTTACCAGTAATAGTTTGTCAGGATTCACCAGCAGTTGCTTTTTGGCCAGAGTGTAGAAAGAGCACTCGGGAATTTCCACACTTGGGAACGGCGAGTAGACTACGCGGTCATGAATTGGAGCCATCATATTTCCCGGTAACCTTCGAAAAACAGCGAGAAATATGCAAACTTGTACGTGAAAATACTATGGGTAGCACAGTTTGATCGGTCGAGTGCGCTGCCGTCCCAAACAATTCATGTGAATTCGACTTGTTTAGTCGAAAAAAGAGTATGTGCTGAGAGTGAGGGAAAAGTGTTTTCGTGTAAACCTAACTTTCTACTTGCACATCGCTCTTATATGGTGCAAAGTTTGAATGCCCTACAGCATAAATAATGACGAATTTTAAAAGACAGTTTTGAGAATTGCTTTACAAAATTATATGCATCATTAACTGAGTTACACTTAAGAAAACATTTCTGGTGGTGAAGGGTATATTGAAATGTTGAAATTCTGGTAATATTTGCATAGCATAATGTTACAGAACTCAGCTGGTATAGTTTCCACGGCACCGATCATAACAAGATTGATCATGACAAGACAAGATCATAACAAGTGTGCGGCTCAACACACCAACTTAAGAAATGCCACGCTGTTGCAATGCTCAGATGTCGGCCCATCATAACTTTTCATAAAAAATGATCTCTTTAATAGGTAGCAGCAGATCCAGTGGTACACTCGCCCACTAAAGCCAACGGACCAAAAATGGACCAAAGCCAAAAATGCAGTTCTATGCACGGACCAAGGGTGTGTGGTGTGGTAGCAGCAGTAAGGACCCCTTTGCAATGTGATGGGCCAGCAATCTTCTGGTACCTCGACGTCCTTTTTACGTCGGAATAGTGGCAAGGTTTTGAACGGAAAACGTTGTTCGGGAAATGTGCGTATGCCTCGCGTGGTTCGCGATATTTGATAGAGTGGTTTGCGAGGGTCTGAGAATATCAAAGTTTCGCCCACCATTGAAACTCCAGTTTATCTATAGGCGCTGAATCTTCTCTTGCATGTATCTTGTTATTCATAGATCTTCAATGGGCTTTGTGCGCCGATATCTGCGCTCTGCACGCCGACGAATCGCGGGAAGTCGCTCTAACTCTACGTCCTTTTTCGAGGGCCTTGAAGAGCACGTCAGCGTGCACATCGTGCCCTTCGCTGCTTCTTTGATCTCTTGCTCAATGCCAGAGGATAAGCCTTTTGCACATGCGTCTTTTATGTTGCTTGTGAATGCATACAATTTGACCCTCCGGCTGGTTTTCGGTGGTTCACCACTGGCGGAGCATTTGATGTGGAGAAATCTTGGAATGTGGTCGCTACCATGTGCCTCAATGTCTAAAAATCAGTTGACGCTTGACGTGACGCAACGGGACACAAATGTCAAGGCCAAACAGCTGCTGCATGTGACCTCTCGTAGAAATGTAGTGCTCCCATTTAGGTAGAGAAAGTTCATGCGCAGACACAACTAGAGCCTGTTTCCCGCCTGTGGCATTGACTTTTGAGCTTCCCCGAATAGGGTGGTGAGCGTTGAAGTCCCCTGTATTCACCCATTTACCCGGTTCGCTCACAAGTATGTCGTGCAGTCTTTTTCAATCAAAACGAGCTGAAGAGGATAGGTAACCACACACTAAAGTGAAGGCGACTGTGTTTTGCTTCACAGTCAGGCAAACATACTGGTTTTCGTCATGTAGTGGCACATGATGAATAGTGTAAGGAATATCGCTACGAATGTACAAAAGCATCTTGCTGCTTTCATTGCAGGTTTTGGACGGAATTGATACGTATCCTGATCGTTCGATTGGGTTTGTTAGGTTCGGTTCAAAATCATGATGATTGGGAAACGGTTCAGAAACACGTACTGACGAAAATCGGAAATCCATTATTTTTGTCCTCTTGCATTCCATTGAATAACTGGTGCTTTCCGACCTCTTTGCGTAACGATTTTTGAACTCCTTCCATGGCTCTACGCGAGGGCGGCGAAGACTCGGCTCAACGCGTCTTGCACTGGTAGACACTTAGAGAGTTGGAGTTTCTCGGCTTCTCAGTAGGTCTGCAATAACAGCGACCAGGAAACGTAGCATTGGTATAATTTGTCGATCTATTCTTGACACATTTTCAACGGAAGTAGGCTCAGAGGTAGCTGTAGGGTGGGAAAGCCTGAGAGGGGGCTCAATCGCAGGCTGTGTGCGAGGAAGTGTAGGCCAGTCATCCGCAGCTATTGTGCACCTCATTTCGCTTCGTGCTTACTGTTTTGCTGGTGTTAGAATAAGATGTTTGACGCACAAAACCCTGTATTGCACGCCTTCTACGACGGCTGTGTCGGCTCCGTACCCTCTCAGCAGCCTTTTTGTGCAATAAGTTGTCTCTGGGCATTTGTTTGGTAATGGTAATTTCTTTCTTTATCGACGAGCACTTCTTGAAGACAGCATTATGTGAACCTTCACAGTTTCCGCACTTCAGACTTTTGGCTTGACAGGCGTCTGCACTGCGTGGATCAGCGCATGTCCGATACACATCTGACATGTCCGATTTTCATATATGTATGAAACTGAAGAGGCTTAGGAACAAATGGCTGAACAGGATGTCGGAAATTTCCCACCTTGACATGTGACAGAATATTGCCAACTTTGAACAATATCTTTACACAGTGGGTGCTTCCGAGGCAAAGTACATTTGTGATGACAACTTCCTCGATCGCTGTTTTCATAAGAATTGAAAGCTCCACGTTTGCAATGGCCAAATCATTGTCACAGATTACTCGTGCCTGGCAGGTACCATTCATTGGAATTATCAGTCAGACTTTGATGTCTGCGAACTCTGATAAGCTTCGTAGCTTCTCTAAGGCACTGACAGTCATTGTGTCTACAGTAAGAATATTCTTGCGTGGGTTAAAACGCATATCTTTAATTTTGTTTGGCACAGCCTCCTCAAAGTACCTAAAGATAGCTTGCCTGTTTACTGCTCGAGGGCTAATAAAGGGGTCCACGGGCACGTACTAGATGGTTTGCGGCCAGTTCTGTTCTTCTGACTTTTCACTTAACGTTCCCGCTGATGAAGATGGCTTGTCGTTTCTTCATTTGTCCTTCCTGCTTCTCGCGGTGTCGAAGCCGTCATCCAACGAGTCATCGCTAGAAACCAAGTGCAGTCTTCTCTGGTGCTTGAACAGGTGCTTCATTTCCATGAGAGGCTTGCGTAAGTTGATCTCTGCTCAGTCAGCGCCACAGAAGGATCCGCGTCCATAGCCATTGCGCAGTGGCCATCAGTAGTTCTGGGCAAAGCGCGCTGATTTACCGAGCAGTGCGCCTTAGCAGATCTCTAACTGGGTGCGCCGGTGGAAGACTCCGCGTCCGTCACCCTGGGACGGGGAGCAGCATCTCCCGGAAAAATCTATGTCTCAATAAAATTGCTAAGAGCAGAAAGCAGAAGCGTTCTATAAAGAGGAAATTGTATAAGAAGTATAGGGTACTTTTGAGAGGAAATTGAACGGTAAATGTCAAGAAACAAAATGAATGAATTGGGGCTCTCGCTTCGAGCGACCGTCTCGTTCCGGCACGTTTTAAACCTTCAAGTAGTGTGCGAAGGAATATTCTTTAGCTACCAGCTGGAAATAAGATGCTGTGGTACATGACAGAAGGCAAAAGAACAAGTATTACACAGTCACCAAAATGGTCCGGCGCGGCACTGACTGACGCTTCCACGTTTAGCTGCGCATATATTCTAGATAAAATAGGCGCGAAAATGATCACTGTCGTAACTGACTGGTAGAGCATCAGACTCATTCGAATAGAGCAGGTTCAGCTCTTGCTGGTGGCAAGCTATTTTCTCGGACACCTTTCATATGCGAAGCATTTTCAGCAAATTTCGGCGACTTCGAGCGTATCTATCTATCTATCTATCTATCTATCTATCTATCTATCTATATCTATCTATCTATCTATCTATCTATCTATCTATCTATCTATCTATCTATCTATCTATCTATCTATCTATCTATCTATCTATCTATCTATCTATCTATGCTTTTAGCTCTCCTGGCCATCCCGACAATGGTATCGATACCGATACCAGTATAAGATAACATGGCTGTACGACGAGAACAAATGACTGGTCATAACATGAAAATCATTATACGTATGTCATATGTCATTGATGTCGTGATTTACATTTCATAGTCTTACCGCACTTGGGGTGGTTTCGTTCACATGACAATTTGCGAAACTGGTATGGTATGACATGAGTGCATAGCGAGCGCAAGTGACAGACCCTAACATAGAAATCATCACAAGCATTTCGTGATTTTCATGTTATCACTAGTAATGACTACCCGCCACGCTCGTGGTGAGCTCACGGTCGTTTCGTAGCTTCACGTATACCGAATTCGGTATTAAGCGACGTAAATGAACGATAAAGGTACATGACTGGTTCAATCATCATTATCTCGACATGGGTGTCATGTGAGAACATGACAACACACCACGCTCATAATGCACTCGCGGCCCTTTCACTAGCTTCACATATACAAAATTTTCTATTACGTGACATGAATGAAGGACAAAGGTGACACGTCTACACATTATAATCATGATATGCCTGTCATGTGAAACATGACTACATGCTACACTCGAAGCGTGCTCACGACTGTTTCGCTAGCTACACATATACAAAATTGGGTGTTACGTTCGTGGCTTGAATGGACAACGAAGATAAATGACACGTCCAAAAATTATAATCTTGATATGCGTGTCATGTGAAACGTGATGACACGCTATACTCATAGCATCCTCACGGCCGCTTCACTAGCTCTACATATACGAAATTTGGTATTATGTGACGGCAACCGATGACGAAGGTAAATGACACGTCTAAACATGATAATCATAATATGCATGTCATGTAAAACATGACCACATGCTATGGTCATACTGCGCTCGCGGCCATTTCTCTAGCTGCCCATATACGAAATTTCGTATTATGTGACGCGAATGGAAGATAGATGCAAACGACATAGCTAAGTGGGATAATCTTGATATGCGTATTACATGCGACATGAATAAAGACTACGCTCATAGCGTGCTCACGGCCGTTTCGCTAGCGCCATATATACAATATTTGGTA